TTTTGCTTACATAACCAATTATTCCACCCTCACACACTCAAAACTCAGGCCACTAATGCATTAGAGCTGACAGAAAAGGATCTAATAAAAGGTATCAACACATGTCGTAACTGTAGAAAGAATCTGTCCTTGCTAATGCTTGGGGAAATAGGAAAGCAACCTTCTAACACAAAGATGACAACCATTTTCAATACCTGACGTTTTTCTTCATAATAAAAAATTGTAACCAACATGATATTTGTTTCAGCAGGCCAGTGTATATTTGCAATATCAATCTGCTATCTAGCTCTAAAACACAGGCATAGATTTGGGGGAGGGAGGCAAACATATTTAAAGGAAATGAGAATCCCAGCTTCTATTGGAAACATTTGAATCTTATGTATGTTTGAAAGGGTCTCCACAGGATTGGCCACACCCAAATGGAATGCCCAGAACCAAAAGAAGTCATGGGAATCTGACATCATATATTCCACTGGTCATTTATAATGGCGACCCTGTTAACCATGATTATTTGGTAACAAAAAGGTGACTATTTTAGGCTCATCCTTATACCCGCAGAAAGCATTCCCTTCCAGAACCCCATAGCTTAACATCGCTCCCCATAATTGGGAAGCAGACAAAGAACCCCCCCCAGCCCAGTCTTCCTCTTGAGATTTTTCAGCTCAACCACATTAGTGCCATTACAACCAAAACTTTGCTGGGCACGGAAAATTATCTGGAAAACACATCATTCTTCCTTGTGAGTCTAGAGATGACTTCTGTAGACCAGGCTCCCTTGGATTGCCCCTCCTCTCCTCTCTCTTTGCTGTCCAGGCTCACATCTTCAAATAGGTCCGTGTCACTAAGGGATGTGAATGCAGAAGAGAGCCTGGGGGGCAGGTGGGGTGGCTCGTGACAGCCCGCTGTGTGGGATTACAAGGCAAAGCTTCCAGAGTGCGGTCTTGAAATGAAGTGACCTGCAGTGGGGGGGAAAGAGGATGTTAGGAATGAACAATGCTCAGTTGATGGCTTCCAATATGGCGGTGCATTATGAAAACAATGGTCTGGAAGTCAGGGGTTTGAGGTCATCATCACCTGTGATCTTTCTAGGCCCCTTTCCACTTTAAATGAAGAGGCTCAGAAAGACCACCACTAGAATCTCTCTACTCTGGAACGCCCCCTTCGGTGACTCCAGAGGTGTGGACCTGTTCATGTAGCCGTCACTCCCCGCATCCCCTCGAGGGGTGGGGGGGGTCTCCAGTTTCCAACATTCCCAGTGCCGGTCTAGCTGTCGAGACCCGAACTCCATTCGTTTGGTGCTATAATCTCTCCGTCCTTGTTTCTTTATCTGTAAAATATTTCCCGAACACGTCCCAGAGTCTTCATGGGCAACACATAACAAGTGCGAAAATGGTTTGGGAGAGAAGGAGAATATCGTAACCGAGATAGTAAGTAAAAATGACATTGTCCTTTAGGCCATTGTAATCACGTAGTCTGTTGCTTTTGCAGACTGCAACTTGAGCATGTCGCCTATTTACTGAACAGTGGGCAGCTGCCAAGCAAGGTTTCTGTACAGTCAGTGGTCATTTCCACGGGGCACGGGGCGGAAGTGAGCGTGTGGGTGAGGAGGTCATTTGCGGTGTCCTTCGTGAGCATAGGTACCTGGCCAACAGTGCTCTCCAGACACAAAAGAGCCCATGCCCTCAAGGAGGGGTGTGGGTGGATGTACTCCAACCACTGGTTTTGTTTCTTTCCCAAATTATTGTTCAGCATCATATAATCATTTCTTCTATTTAGTGACATCTAGAAAAGCGATTACCTAATGCTTCTCTCCAGAGGAGAAGGCGAGGCCATCATAAGAAAAGATTGCTGGCCTTCTTTATACTGCAGAGTTTGTATAAAAAGAGACAACTTCATTTACTCTTTATCAGGTGCTTCTGTGTGAGAATCCTTCCGTATTTTAACAAATTAACCATCTTGTTTCTTTAGCTTTGTGCCACTGAAAACCATCTAACTTTCTCAGCCTCTCTTCCTCAAAGACTTCTAAAAAGGCACTGACAGGTATCTCAGAGTCTCTTACTTCTCTCACTGTTCCCCGAGAATCACAGCACACTGGCGGGAGCTAACTCAACTCCGGCTCACATGTTCCTGGTTACAGACAACTCATACCTCACAAGACAGCCCGTTGTATTTCTTCTCTTCTGGCAAGAAAGCTCTTCAGCCCACGCCAGCATGTACTTGTCTGCCTTCCCTTGGTCTGTGTCTTCTGATTTCACACTTAGAAAGCCATTGGCCATGAGTACACAGTAGCAATGCCCTCAAAGTCAACAGCAAAGGCCTCCCCTTTCTTTTTCTGCCCACGATGCTTCTGTTCCCCGATTGCTTTCTGACGTATCGTATCCCCTGAACCAAAATTTTGGAAGATGTGGAAGGCTCAGGTGACGAACCTTCCACTGCATTTGGAAAGTCTCAGAGTTGGTTAATAAGAACTAATGATGCATGGAAACCCGGCTGGAGAGGTTGTTATCGCTCCGTAGAAGGTCCAGACAGAGCCCTTTGCACATTTGTCCATAGCTTACAACCTGATCTTTATAAAAAGTGCTTTACTTACTAGGTCTTTAAGTAAAAAAAAAAACCTGCCAAAGAAATATAGCTGAAACAGTATGGAAGGAACCAGAAGAAAAATGGATCCATTCCAGTTGGGTGATGCTAAGGAGTTTGATTGCAAGGAGAATGTGTATATTTCCCGAGAGGCTTCGATCTGTGATACCCCATTGTCTGTGAGAGGGGACAGGGTCTTGCCTAAGGTGGGGTTGACCAGGTACAGGATATGACTTGCTATTCAGGAACCACTTTAATTTGAAGAGCTGTGCAATAGCAAAGTAGGAGGCGGAATGGAGAGGAGACTCTGGCCCATAAGAATGTGTGCAACTTTCTGGAATTGTGTAGCGGTATTCCCTAAGAGCGAAGAGGTCACTCTGCTTTTTTTTTACAACCCCAGAAATATGCAGAATGTGAACATTGCTTATCATGGAATTGTATTGTTGTTGGAACTGTAGACATACTCAACTTCCCCTGGTACTGAGAAAAGGAAATTAAAACCAGGAATCATAAGACAGACACTGCCATTCCTAGAGTACAGCTTGGTTTATGTCATAAATGTCATATATCATATTACATATTATGTTATATTGCACAAATACCAATGTATTTTGAAAAACAATCTGCATTGCCCCCGAAGCATGGTTGGGAAACCACGTTACTTTTCTTTCTTCTGAAACTCGTACTTTTGACCTCTTTCTGACAGCATGAGGGCACTGTCCCCACCTGTCACCTCTGCCCCCTTGCCTCTCATTCCCACCCCCCTTCCCGTTGTTTCTGCATTGAGATCTAAGAAATCGTAGGGGTTCCCTTAGCTATTTGTAGTACTTTTTTCTAATGTACACTTTTATGTTAAGACCTGTTCAAAAGACCTATGAGAGTGCCAATTATTTATGTATTTTCCTATCAAGTTTTATAAACCCTTATAAATGAATTGCTGATGACAGCGAATAGATTACTCTCAGCGGTCTAACCTTAAATCTGAATTTCACATTCATTCCATTTTACCCCCACTGAGGCCCCTTCGATCAAAGACTAAAGTTTCATTTTGATCAAAGCAACATAAAGTGATGAATAACATTCCAATACCAAACAGACACTGGCCAGGCACACGAAATTTGGTGCTGATGTCAGGTGGATTCACAAACTCGCTTGTGGTTTCACAAGTTCTTCTTGAAACAAACATTTTCAGATTAAGCAGAGCATCATTTTGAAAAGTGCAGGATTTGGAGCCCTACGAAGAGTGGGTTTGAATTCTGGATTTTTAAATTTACTTCCATTACGAATTATGATTTGTACGCAAAGCATGACTGGTTGTTACCTTCGAAGCATGCGCTGAGCGTTACATGGAGAAAAAAGTATGTGACACGCTTAGAACAGAGTATATCAACCAAAGTTGATAAATACTATGTACAGTTCTTGCTACTATTGTCAAATGTTTATGATCTCTTATCTCTTAGTGTACGTCTAACTGTCAACCATTCACGTTTCTAGGGAAGGCATAGTTGACAAAATCTTACCCAACTATTATTAACCCTAGAGACAGACAGACAGCAGCCCCCCATGCCAAGGATCTGGGAAACACCTGCTTCCCAGCAACCTCTACTGTAGATGGGTGCTTTCGTCATCGTTTTATTTGGATTGAGGTTGCGCCCTGTTTCCTTAGGCAAGGAAGGGGCATTTTTTCAATATTTATTTTCCTGACTAGCTATCGAAAACAAAGAGGTAAATGAAGTCATAATCATTTCACATCTCATTACGTGAACTGAACACCTAACATATATCCGCATGGATGGTCCAAGCTGTGGTTCGCATGCACTGCAACGCCAACACATGCCAGGGCTGACCTAGGTGGGGTGTTTCCGGGCTTTGGGACGATGAGGTTTTTAATGCACTTGATGTGAGTCATGAGTGTAATTGCCCACGGCTACTTTTGTGCGTCTGGAGTGGAAGCGCTCGCTGGTGGCCCTGGTTGCAGAGGACACAGCGCCATCTAGTGCCCGTTGGGAGCATAGCTGGAGGAGCCTCCTGCTCAGTCGAACGTTGCAGTCTATTGCCGGTTTTTTGGTGTTTGTTTTTTTGTTTGTTTGTTTGTTTACTTTCTGTATCCCTGGACTTTGAAACTTCAGGTTCTGATGAACGCCACTATTTTTCAGACGAGCTTCGTCAAACCAAACGCCGTGTGACCTTTTGCATACTCTCGGAAAGGCTCGATCCAATCACGTTTGGCTCTGTTGCAGACTTCCGTGGCTACCTTGCTATCACTTGCAGCTAGCGTTGTGTAAAAGAGCGTTCTGGAAATGAGAGTTTCCTTAGGATCCACTTGGCACCACGGCATGCTTCTCACGGTACAGCATGTCCTGTACGAGAGACAGAACTCTTGTCATCCCTCCCGATTTTTGATTCTTCTCTTTTTTCAGATTGTCTACAAAGCCTGGCTGTGTTCCCAGTACTTTGAAGTCGCACAGTTTAACTGCAGAAAGACAATTCCTTGCAAGCAATACTGTTTGGAGGTTCAGACGAGGTGTCCGTTCATATTGCCCGACAACGATGAAGTCATCTATGGGGGACTGTCCAGTTTCATCTGTACAGGTACAGTGCAGGGCGGGGTTGTCACTCAGCCGCTCCTGGTCTCTGCTCTCATAGGTGATGTTTGTCTGCTTTGCTTTTGCCTCCTACTGATGTCACCTTGAAGACATGCCTGGTAGTTTTCCACGCTTTCCTTCATCGAAGCCCTGAACGAACTTGGTTGGGAAAGATCATGTTATCGATAGGGGACCTGTGACCCACGGTCATTTACCTTGCAAAAGGATACTCCTGAGGGGAACATGTTAGCAATCATGAGACAGGCTTCAACTTGACTTAGAGTGGTTGGATTCTGCCTGGAGCTTTGCGTTACCTGAGAACAGATGATGTGACCAGGCCAGTAAAATTTCGCTGCTTCTTCAGATCGGTAACGTGTTCACGTCTCCACGTGTATTTTCTGAGAAGGTTTATGTTACTTTATCTTCAATGAGTGTCAAGACCATAAAAAAATGGCTACCTAAGTTATTTGTGTGTGTGTGTGTGCGTGTGTGTGTGTGTGTGTGTGTGTGAGAGAGAGAGAGAGAGAGAGACGCCCAATAGAGGCTAGATACAATTTTAACTCCTCTTCCCCATTAACAGTGTTTACTTCTTCCAGCAAATCATTCAGGCTGGGCCAAACAACAATATCAGCATTCAATTTCTGGGTATTTATAAGTATTACATAATTTAGACACAGAATAAGACGTTAAGGATAAGAGTAAATTGTTTTGTGCTTTTATTTTAAATAAATGGCGAGTAGACACGTGAGAACCAGACACTTTGCCACGGTGATGTGATAGAGCGTTATCTTGGCACAAAAAGTGCTACACATGTCCTTGTCACTAGATGGCTTCCATGGAGGCAGGGTTAGTTTTCAAGTTTTGAGGATAAAACTCTACGATACGTGTCCAGACATGTGAAAAGCTCCTTCCTCCTTCTATTAGACCTTATGAAACCCTTCTACAACACAGTGACATATCGAGATGCTCGGCATGAGAGTTTATCAAATTATTTCCAGATCACATATTCACATTCCTATCCACTAGCCATTCTGTTCGAAGTCTAGGCGATAAGCTATCAAGAGACCGTCAACCAAATTTCTCCCTGAAAAACTGGATGAGTATTTCCTGTGCTTCCCAGTCCAGTGGGAAGAACATCTAAGGGAAGGTTATGAGATAGGGCCTTTCGTCCTATTTGTATGCATTGTCTCTGAGCCATTGGGTGGCTCCTCGTTAGCAAATTAGCAATAGCAAACATCCCCAGGCACGTTTGCTATAAGGGTTATGGATAAGAGAGAAGCACAAAATATGTCTTCAATAGGCAATAGCCGTTGTACATAAGAAAGTGATCTGTAGAATGTAAATGCATTTAGCAATCATTTTTGTTATTCACTGATTGAATGCTGAGACCATTTTCCCAGCTCCTCTCTGATGGGAAGACAGAGAGAGAGGGAGAGAGAAAGAGACAGAAAATGAAAGGGGAGGGAGAGAGGGAGGGAGGGAGGGAGAGAAGGAAGGAAGGGAAGGGAAGGGAAGGGAAGGGAAGGGAAGGGAAGGGGAAGGAAAGAAGGATATTAGTATCATCTCCCTTTAATTGAGCCAAAATTCACCAGACACAGGCTATTAATTTACTTGACATTCACAGAAAACTTTCCATAAATGGTCATCAAGATAAAGTTTTCAGCTCTTGACTCTGTGGTCGATTAGGTGTCTATGATTTTAGGGACTTCAGAGTAACTCGTGGCATTTTATATAAAGGCTGTATGTTAGTTCAGTCACATGCATATAGATTTTTTTTTTTTCCCAGAGAAGGTCGGTAGTTTTCACCAGATTCTCAAAATAGACAGCAATCTCAAATGAAGGACCAGGTAGTTGTCTTTCTCTTCTGTTCCTAGCCTTTAATCCGTGTGTGTGGATCTGATACCGGTTTGAGTATTCATCCCTTTTCCTTGTACACTTTCAAGGCCATCTGAAAGCTAAAGATGGGATATAATCTCTTTCTGCAGAACACAAGCAGGAAGTCCCCTATATATATATTTTTTAATTGAAGTATAGTTGATACACAATATTATGTTAGTTTCAGGTATACAGCATAGTGATTCGATAAGTTGACAGATTATGCTCTGCTCACCACAAGAGCAGCTAACCATCCGTCACCAGACAACACTATTACAGTGTCCTTGACCATATTCCTACGCTGTGCCTTTTATCTCTGCGACTTATTCATTCCGTAACTCGAAGTCCGTACCTCCCACTCTCCCTCCCCCATTTTGTTCGTGCCCCCCCCCCAACACACACCTTGCCCTCTGGCAACCATCGGTTTATTCCTTGTATTTATGGGTCTGTTTCTGCTTTTGTTCGTTTGTTTGGTTGGTTGGGGTTTTAGATTCCACATCTAAGTGAAATCCTATGGTATTTGTCTTCTACCTTGTATTCTTAATTGCCTTTGAGTTTTGTAAATTCAGCTTTTGCATAGTCATAGCTACATCACAGCAGGAAAGAGACAGGAAAAGGGAAGTATGTCATTGGGTCCGAGAAAATGCCATGGACCATAGATTTCTGGGAGAATGCCATCACTGAATACCCAGAACCTAACTCTTCATTCACCACTCAGTTGGGCTTTGTTTGTTCCTTTCATCATTCAATTTCTCAAAAATGTGCAGGATAAATTCTGAAGGCATTTTACCTTGAAGTTCTACAAACTGTTTTGACAAAAAAAAAAAAAAAATACTAATCCTCAGATTGAGCTTCTTTTCTACGGTGTGACCCAGGCCTTCTTGAAGAATTCTTCTCTCTCTTGGTAACTAGCAGTCACCATTCCCCCTCAGATGTCCGTGGAAATTTGCTACTGGACCTGAACAAGAGAGATACTGATGCTGTCACTTGCTGGCTTGTCACTACTGAGAATCGTTCCAAACACGATCCCCCAAAATAGCATGTTCTGCAAAGAAGTTAACTCAGAGAACAGCTCCCAGGGGCCACTGGTCACACCTATGGAGCCAAGTGGCTTGACCCACTTCTAGAGAAACTAGTAAGACCTTTATATGTATAGCATTCATTCTCGAACATTGTCATACAATTTTTGGTGGCTCATCTCTTGCAGATGGGCATGGAGATCCAAATAACTCACCTTTTAGATGGCATGAATGAGAGTTATCTCAAGTGTCTTTATACATTTTGAATGCAATGTCTTCTGTACTCAGGCAGAATTAGACTAAATAGAGTAGAGAAATAGGAATATTTTTTTTCCAGCTTCCCGGTTGACTGCAGATAACCTGAGGCCAACTGGGATGGCGGGATCACAGCCACTTTACATGCTCACAAGTAGCAGTAGGCTTGCTGATCCCCTTCCTTATTGAAATAGGTAGAATGACAATCACTGAACACAGTTCTGTTCGAAGGAATTAGCCAATAGGTTGGTCTTAATCTTGCCTTCAGTCATTCCTCATTGTTGCTTTAACTTAAGGGTTTTTTTTTTTCCATTCTATATAGTGAAAAATATAATCATTTATCATCAATAGTTGAATGAATAGATGGAGTTTCCCTCAAATTCAACATATTTAATTACAGAGGTTTCCCTCCTATTGGAAATAAATCCAATTCACAAATTCCAGAAGAATAGCGATCCCCTCTAGAGTCGACCTCAAAAAAGTGTTCAGGAAGCACATCCCCCTGTATGGCTTGTTGCCAGATGCTGTCCGAGTGAATCAATTTTGTTCAAGGTTCCTCTCCATGGTAACAAAGCAGTGGTGTTGTGATGTCTTTTCCTGAGAGTCCCCCGCACCCAGCCATTTAGGGATGTGGGCTTACAGGACACCCAGTTCCTCCTCTCCTATGTGCTATTATTACCTATCTGCTGACACCCAAGATTCCTGTTATCTGCCCCAAAAGGGCCTCTCAGCCCTTCGGTTCAGTTTGGGTGCAAGTTTTGGTAACAGTTATTAGGTTCAGGATTTAGCACCTCCTGCCTTATGTGGCTTTTGTGACTTACCCATCTCGTAAATTTGAATGTATTCAATGTTTATGTCTTGATCACCTGCTACTCCATGTGTCTGTGATCCTTAGTAAGCCCATCACTTAATAAAGAAAGCAGACTCTCAGACAATGCGTGCCTGCTGCTGTTCAGTGTCTTTGATTGAGGATGCTACAGAAGGTCATGACCAAAGGTCAAACCACAAACGTAGACGACAAGAAGTGTTCCTCCTTGTATGTTTCATTCTGATTCTGTTTTAGGAAATGAAGGCAGGACACTTTGCCTGAGATCGCTCTTGGGTGTTTTTTTTTTTTTTT